TATATAAAAAATTTAATTTCAAAAAAAATTGTATAAATATTCTCAAAAAAATTTATGAAAAATCAAACATATTTTAATTATTCTTAAAAATCATGATTGTCAAAATTTATAATTCTTAAAAATTATAATTATAAATATGAAAAAAAAAAATCTCTCCTACTAAACTCCGCAAAAGTTTTATAATATTACCATCTCTCTTCATCATCAGTTATCCGAGTCTCTGCAATAATTTATTCCAATGATGTCACTTTCATATCAGTTACATTCGAGTTTCTGCAATGGTTCCTAAACTCTAATTAGGCTCGTTTGATCGACAAAGAATAACATGAGTCAGATAAAAATAAAATAGGATTTTTTATTTTTGTTACAAAAGAGAAGCAAACCAAATCAAATTTTACTCTGGGAAACTGGACTCCCATAGCGTCAGCACACAGAATCTCATGAAGCCAAGATGGACCTTCATGAAACACCACCAATTCATCATCTGACAGCACACCCTTTATTTAATTTAATAAAAATGTTCTTATTTTTCATTATTTTAAATACTTGTGTGACAGTATAATATATCGTAATATCTTAATTACATAATATTTTAAATTTTAATTTATAATGTATTTTAAGTTCTATACAATGTTGTTTTAGGACAACTTGTATAAAATGTTATTTCCTTTAAATTATAAAATATATAAATCATCTTTAATATTTCTCCTTGAAATTTATTATTATTTAATCTTATATTAATTTAAAAAATAAAACAATTATCATTAAATATTTTATAATAAATTTTAATATTATGTAATGTGCCTTAAATTGTTGATATATTTATTTATTTATTATAATATAACATTCATAAATATATTTCGTTTAATATTATTTTCACAAATTTGAAAATATTTAAATAATAACTACTTATTTTTATTTAGACACGTGTAAGGACTAAAATAGAATATATTTAACCATAAAATAGAACACTTTTGTTCCTATACAAAACATCTCATTTTGATTTTTATAGTTTTATTAACTTTATCTTAATATTTATTAGTAAAAACATTATACTTTAATTTCTAAACATAGCATTTTTATTTTCTGAGTTTTATAATTTCATTAAAAAAAATTGTCCCAATTGCAATAGAGACGGAAATTAAACTAATATATATATATAGAGAGAGAGAGAGAGAAATGGTGTGTATAGAGATTAAATTGAAACATTGTTAACTATAGGATATAGTTGTTAATTGCAACGATGAAGAGCATGAAGGCAGAAATAGGATATACTTGCTAATTGCAACGGCAGGGTCGGCACTCTGAGGAAGTGAGTATTTGTACAAGTATAATGATAGTATCTCAAGATAAAAGGTCCATCTGGGTAACCCACCGCTGGTGAGAAAAAATAAAGTGGGCA